TTGTCGTCCTATGAACCATTACCTTATACGCAAAGGGTCTCGATAACTGGCGCTACCAGTTGAAATTACTCCTTAGGGCGTCAGTAAAGGCCTGGCCAAACTGGAGATGGCTTTGGGACGGATCTCTTGCGGCCTGCTCTATGTTTGTAGGGCGCCCTGTGCGCCGCTGGCGTTCCTCATGTGAAGGGGATGCTACTCGTGTGCGCTTCCTTGGCCCTAGCAGTACGTCGCTCCCTTGTGAGGAGGCAGAGGAGGATTAGGGTGTCCACTGTCCTGTGTTTCGCATGCTAGACGCATGTGTGTACAAAGCGATTCGACGCCTCTGGATGCCTTTAAAGTATGCGCGGAATAAGGAGCACCCCTCTCTATTGGGCAGTCCCTTGTTGCATAGTCTCCTGCGCATTGCCTATATCTCGCTTTTCTTCCGCACGCCTTTTGTATATGTCCCTATTGTTGACAGTTAAAGTATTAAGCGGCTATAAGAGCCTGCTCAAACGGTCGGGTTTCGAATAGTTGAGCCTTAATTACAAGGCCGCTACTAATAGCGCGGCGTTACATCTCCTGAGTAGGAAACCCTATTAACAAAGATCCCCTGGTCTTTGCAGGCTTTTCGCCTGCGTTTTGTATGTTTGTGTCCTCTTGTTTATATAGTTATCTAATTCTTGTAATTTAGAGCCCTGGCGATATTGATTTAGATGCTGTACAGATAATTGTTACTAACTGCGCGTTTTTTTGCGCATTTATCCCCCCCTTTTCGTATGTAACTCGTACGCTTAATGGAACCCTAATTGCTTCTATCAGATAGTCCTTCTTGTAGATCTTGAGCTCTTCTGTAGATGGTAAGCTGTACGCGCGGTCTTTTGTAGCTTCGTTGGGGATAGTAACATCAATATCGCCGCTTCGTAACACTCGAACAGCTGCTGCTCCTGGGATGGTCCTTTTGACTTCCTTTAGTATTTGTTCACTATTCTTCCCCTTTGACTCAGCCATTTGAACTCGAACGCTGTGTCGCTGGCGTAGCGCCTGCGGAGCGCCTGCTTGACGCAGGCCAGACGCTGCCACAGACGCCCATGACTTTTGTTTTAGTGGTTGCCTAAGGGGTGTTGCTTTCTGTGCTAACAGCATCTTTTCAATTCGTTCCAGTCGTGCTTCCATTATTCCAATTGGTGGCTGGCGACTCGCAAGCGAGACATAGTCGATAATATTTGCCAACTCGTCTAAGTACTGTAGCCCTACCCCCTCTTTCTCGAGACCCTCTTTGATATTAGTGAGTGATGCCTCTATCTCAGTCCACACCTCTGTAGGTAGCAGTCCCTCTTCCATGTTGTAGTCCTCGCTTGGAGGACTGCTGCGTGTCGGTTGCGACTCGCCTTCGACTCGCCTGCGCTCTGCGGGCCCCCCACCGGGCTCTGGCAGCGGCGTCATTGCTACCTGGGTAAAGTTGACCTTCTGATCACAAATTTGGCAGTTGTATAGCTTCTAGCTGGCTGTAGAGGGCAGTTTCGCACACGAGTGAGCTCTAGCAGTAATAAATAAATTTGTTGATAAGTTATATAGCAAAACGCGAATAACACGACTTTGGCGCATTTTGCACCAAAACGAATGACAACCTAGCCAAATTTCAGAGTTCAGACCTCAGACGTGTGAGACAGTGGTCGCGTAGTCATCGACTAGCCCCTTCGAGCATGGCGTGTGTGGCGTAGCCCGCTAAGCCCGTCTGAGATGACTGAGGCAAATCTGGTGCCTCCGGATACTAGCGATGACTAAGTGAGAGATGATGGGGTAGTGTCTCATGTTCGACCAGCGCCACTTTGTCTCGGCTCGCTCGAGTGCTGTTAAGGATTTTCATCTCAGAAACAGCGTCCGCCAAGACTTTTATCTTTCATCAAAATACTCTGTAATCCTGCAATAAAATACTTTTCTGTCAGGACTCCCATTTGATTGGTCTGTCAAATTTCAAAGTCTTGATTGATTGGACGGAAACACAGGTTTGATTTATTTGCCAAGCATTTGGTTTGGTTTATTTGACTCAATTCAGTTTGCTTCAAATGGACACACTGGGCGGACGCTGTCCAAGTGCCATGTCTCACTGATAACACCGTTGAGGTGGTTCGAATGCTGATGTGGGGGGTTGGTGGGTGACATGCGGCCGAATCTCTTCACGTACTAGCCTCGATATGTTAAATGAACTTAGTGCAACTTCGTACATGACTTTAGTCAGCGTTGCTGCCGTTGTGTCATAGCATTTGAAAATAAGGCTCACCTTCTAGGGACAGCTATCAACTGAGAGTCTCTTCATAAGATTTCGAGGTCTTTGTTGAGATTGGCCGTACGCGACTCTTAGCAGCACGTGACCGCCTGCGCGCCCTATCAGATGAGCCTGCTCCTCCTTCTTAGATAGAATCTGCAGAGTAGATAGAATTCAGTTCATCCACCTCATCAGTCTTCCCCCCCTTTCGGCCGCTTCTCTTTCCAAGGCTCAAGGAGGGTGCTCATGACATCCGGTCAACCTTAGTCTAGATTTCGTTACTACGACCGAAGGACAAGGGATGCTTCTGGATTCCCGTAACGAAGCACTGCTTAGCCTCCCTCATGATCTATGTCAACTCAGTACACTACTCCTGTTCTTTGAGCAGCTTCTGCCACTCTTCTCGCCGCCCAGATCGCAGTGATCTCGATACAGCTCGTTCAGGTGGTAGACTGTTGTTGAACTTTCCTTCATCTTGGCCTGCTATCTGACGCTTCTTGTGCTTGGCAGACGCTCAACCCCTGACCTTATCAATTAATGTGTAACACTTCTGTAGGTGGCTGTTTCCTTCGCCGTCGAGGTGGCTTTCCAGAATTGGGTCCTCGGCTACGTCACTGCTACACCAGAACGGGGTATTCATCAAATCAAACAAAGCAATTTGAGGCACTTGTTGGCTTTTTAGGACTGATTTGTCAAATCGAGTCAAATCGAGTCAAATCTTAGTAAGTAATATATTATGTCAGACAACAGCTACTAGTTTACGGTCCTCTGAGGGCCGCGCTCCTTTTGGTCCAACATATTACTGGGGATAAACTTGAAGTCTCGTCCGAATCAAGTGTCCGCCAAGACAACTATTATTCTATCTAAAATATCCCTGACATTTTGCTTTGACGGAATGACCGATTTGATTTGATTTGCCAAGCATTTGAATTGATGGGCACACTGCACGATGACTAGAACTTCCAAAATCGAATCACAAGACTGAGGAACAGACCAACATGGCGCGGTGCGAAAGTGCACAGAGCTATGAACCGAGAGAAACGCTGCTGTTAGGCATTGCGCTTTTGGGGCCCAATCTATTGCCATGCAAAACAAAAATTACTGTGCGCAGTTGCAAGGTAACTGTTGGCCACAGCCAAAAAATGTGCTTAGATACCAGTGGTCTCTATTACCTCCTCACCGTAGTACCATACAAGGAAGGTAGTACAATAGAATACTAGTCGGATGAAAACATGTCCTCGAGCCTGTCAGTTGCCTCGTGACGAACTGTGCTGACTAATCGACGGATCAGTGTGGAAATAGCAAGTTGTTCTATCTAATTCAGTGCGAGGAGCGCGCATTTATACGTACAGAGTTGCTATATCAAGCCGAATAGCGCGGAACGCTGATACCAACAATACATCCATGGCTGATGCGAAACGCGTATCAATTCTGTAACAAAACGCTGGTGACACACGTAGCAAATTAAGCGCAAACTGTATTTTTGAGTTCTACACCTCGCTATACCTGAGGCTACTAGCAAGTGCGACTCCTTGTGTTGCCAGAGCTGTACTGTGACCGTGAGGATGATGATGTTCCGGCCGAACTCACACTGCCTCATCGCTTGACACCTGAATTCAGCAAGTCTCTCACATCTTTGTTCAGCGTTTTTTCAGACTTGTTTCAGTCAACAATTGCTCCCCACTTCAGCAGTCCCCCGACCGTAAAGAAGTAACAAACCCGAAACGCGTACATTAACAGGCCAATCAGAAGTCGCCACATTCTTGAAAATTTCTTCCTCTGATTTAACTTGCCAAGACGAAATCTTACTAACAGAGCTTTCTGATGCAGTGGTTCCCGTTTTCTGGTGACTACTACTAGATGTACTGATGGATTTGTCTTTTTAATGCCAACACCTTCGCAACAGGTTTTCCATACCTTCATAGTATTGTTGAGTACGATAGTTCTGCCTGACTCAGCATTTGCATGAAGCTAAAGAAAGCTGCCGCTAAGCCAAGAGTACACAAAACTATGTCGCTTTTGGCGAGTTGAGGGCTAGTCATCTCGCTGTCTACCAATCTGTAACAAATCCTGGCCGTTCAGCTACTCTTGACTCACATGCATTCCTCGTCTTTAAGACCCATGCCCCTCAAATTGGAAGCAGATGCAGCCGAGATGTCGGCCTGGACAGCGACGTATTCTGCTTGTATAGGCTGCTTACTGCTGTCTCCCTCCAAATGAGCATACAGTAACTGTGTTGTAGGGATCCTTTCCAATGCCAAGCCAATGTCAGCGCGGGGTAGTACTAGTAATGTAACGCCCTGTACCTTTGCATGACCAAGCGTGACTGACTTGGGTAGGTGCCACGTCCTACATCGCCGCACTCTAATGCACCATTACTAAGTTACTATGTACTACCATACTTTCGTAGTATGTAGCATAGCTGGCCTGCCGACCGCCATCGGCAAACATCCATCCCAGGCCCGGAGCGCCCTTCGCCAATAAAAAAAACTTGGCTGCCATGTGAGGGTCTTCCGGTTGCAGCCTCGGAGGAGTAATATGGCCACCAAACTCGTACGGACTCGTTGGAGCGAATTATGTAGAGGCTATTCTGTTCAATCTACTCCATGCCAGTGGCTACTAGTTTAGTATGCGCAGATAGACAACCGAGCTGCTTCACATCAAATAACGAGTAGCCTTGCCGTTTCACACGACTTTATCTGCCCTTACTTTGCTTTCTGCCAGAAGATTTCTCACACCTCCCTCAACCAAGATGCTTGAAGAGGCGATCCCTGAACACCTGGTACAGGAAAGGACGAGACCAGTGAGCACACCACCCAATCATGAGCCGGCGCTTCCCGCATACGGTGCGCGTTTCCCACAGCGTACGAAAGACCTTGTCATGGCTATCATGGGCGCGCAGTTTTCCTCAGCCTCGGACGATGATGGCTCAGCGATTTCCAAGCTAATGGGACACATTAATTGCTCGTTGGATCGTCTACGCCCGTCGTTCTGGGAACTGGCATCCGTAACGGACAATAGCGGGGCATATAACATTGCTGTCATTGCCTACTGGCCGAACAAGATGTTACATAGCGAATGGGCCGCTTCCAGTAACTTTCAGCAATGGTGGGACGAGCTGAACGCAGAAGATGAGCGTCATGGCTGGTTCCTGGAGGTGTTCTTCCCGACGATAGAGCGGTTCGAAACCGTATTTTCGGATAACGAAATTCCCGAAGGCGCAGCGCACATGAGAGAAGGGATGAGCGGTCCTATTAAGCAACATCTGTATTTCGGCAGCATGCGAGACCGACTGCCAGTGGCTCAGACGGATGCGCTTATTGGAGAAACTGGTCGCATCCCCAATAAGCCAGCTGGAGATACATCCCGCCGCCGTCTTCGTGTTCGCGGAAGGCAAAACCTTACCGTCATTCGCTCGGGCCAGGACTGGTCTGATACCGATCCGAAAGAGCGGAAATTGTACCTGGAGACCATGCATCCGGTCCTAATCAAGGGGATGGAATTTCTCCGTGACCACGGTGATCAGGTGGGATGCTATAGTTGCCGCTTCATGGACGTTGTGGATCCCGTTTCGCATAAAGTCGACAAGGATAAAACATTTGGGTTAGCCTACTTTGACGAACTGAACTCGCTGGAGAGATGGAGCAAGCAGCACAAAACGCATCTCGACATCTTCGGAGGACTCTTGCAGTATGCGAAGGTGCTGGACGGCAACATGGCTCTGCGTTTATTTCATGAGGTGCTAGTTTTAACGCCGGAGCAGCAGTGGTTTGAGTATATAGGATGTCATGAGAAGACTGGGATGTTGGTTTCTTCCACCGACATTTAGGGTGAAACAGATTGCGACTCCACAGTAAGAGGTACGGAACGAAGCTACCGCGCTGATTCTGAATTTCTTGTACCTGTCAGCCTCTCAAGTGCCATAGTTGTTATGCAGGTTGTGGTACTTCCGCAAGCATGGAACTCCTAAGCTTCTTCGATGATCTGGTCCTTTAAGTCGGGCATCCTGCGCAAGCTGATTCGACGAAGATAACGAAGAGATCCAGTAGTGTAGGCGGTCAAAGGTGTTGATTGAATCGAGTTATGTTAATTTCACGAGGCTGCACCAGGAGTATCCATCAAATCAAACAAAGCAGATCGAGGCCCTGTTTTGCTTCGATTGCTAAGTAGTACTACTTAATCGTACTTTATTTGACTGATTGTTAAAATTAAGTCAAATCTCAGCAAGGAGATTTACTTAAATTACTAGTATCGTGCAGATAGGGTGTCCGCCAAGACTATTGCTGTCGTCTCCGAAAGTATCCTTAAATATTTCAGAATAAGAGATTTCTCTGTCAAGACTTCAGTTTGACTACTAGTACTAGATTTGTCAAATCCACAGAGGCCGATTGAGTAATTTGACGAAAGCACCAGTTTGCTTTGATTTGTTTGACTACTAGTATTTTTGATTGACGGACACACTCGCTGCACTGGGCGGTGATTCTAGATATGAGATCCGTGTCCAGCCATTAGGCTGCCTTTTGGCTTCTGGATTATCACACGGCCGATGAGGGTACTACTTACTACGCGATACCTGGTTCGTCTTAGTCCATCTTGCGGGCAGGTGTGGGGTAGATGAACCTCAGACCCTAGATAAAACGTCTGCTGGGTGTGAACCGAAGGGGTTGCAATTTGAAAGGCTTCTGAAGCAAAGATGACTATCAAGTCCTCGCTTTGACACTTGGCAACATGTCATCTGGTCTACTACTACTAGTACTGCTTACTTACCAGGAGAAGGGGTAGCTAAAGATATGAGCTAAGTGCCGTTAGTGGAAATGACAGCTACTTTGTGAAATAACCACCATACTGATATAATAAGAGAAGCATATTTTGATCATACTATAATCATATTTTCAGTAAAATACGTTATAAATAGTAGGATTTCATTAGATCACAGACAACTAAGCTGCATATTCTTGTACTCTTTAAGTATTCTTACGGTTAGGCCTAATCTAAGCGCACTTTGATGGCTCCTCTAGCATTATTTTAAGAGGGTCTCTTCCTGCTAAGTGCTGGTAGAAAATGCTTTGGATGTTCCTGGCAGCTGCCAAGTCATCCGGCCAAATATCCAGTAAATGGACTGTACTGCTTCCTCTGCCCCCCAGGGTTCATCCATAGCCCATGATCTCCTGACGCTGCACGCCTCAGTAGTGCCATGGATTAGCCCTCTCTGATCTTCCCGAACCCGACACCTTTACTGTCCCAGTCCGCCACGAAGGGACACTGCCATGGAGGAAGCGCCAGTCGTGCCATTGCCATGCGCCAAATGGAAAGCTTCGGGTGTTATCTGCTCGAGTTCTGGCAGATATGCCTGTGGGCAGTGTCGGCCGGTTGCGGTGAGCCGTGCTCTTCTGGCTGAAATCTCTTTCTAGTCGCTAATATTAGACTGTACACAGTACTGCGGTGCTGATTGCCAGAAGGCCCACTGCCTGGAACACAAGAAGATCTGCCAGTCTTCTCTTAGCAAAACAAGTTGGCACCCGCAATGGGATGTTAGTAATCGATGCAAGCCGGCGTGTGCTAGCAGTAATGCGTCGCGAATTTGGCATAATCCTTTTGGTGACCAGAACTATATGTGGGGCAACGTTTTCGCTAATTCAGTGTGTCCATTTGAATCCAAGACTTGGAAATTTGACAAATTGGTCAAATAGAGGTCTTGGCGGAAAGTATATTATTTTGAAATATTCTAAGTAAATTCTTGATAGGAAAAAAAGTCTTGGCAGACCCTCCTTGCGAGGTGAATTTACGAAAAGGCATACAGCATTGCTTACTCTCTAACATTTGACTCCATTTGACCAATGAGTCAAATCAAATCAAATGAACCTCTGGGATAAGGTAAGCAAATCAAATGGGGGTCAAGATTTGGTTTATTTGATTTGATGGATACACTGTTCGTTATTGATGTTGTGTAATTAAATGAACACGAAGGTCAGAGTTGTTGACAGGATGTGAGACTGCTTTATGCAAGTAAGCCATTTCCCGTGCTCCAATACTGCAAGGTGAACGGTGACATAGCGTCTGGAGACCTTCGCAATGTGGTCAAAACATCAGCAGACCTTCTGCCTACTTTTGTTGGTAGAGTGCTAACTACGATCAATGACCCAAGTTCTAGGTCGTGGCAGTGGCACGAAACGCATACCGCTTACTTTCGCCCTAAGCATGCAGCCTGTGGGAGATGATCTCGAATCTCTTGGGATGTAAAACATGGCAGAAACTCTGATCCATCTGTGGTATTCAGCATTCATACCCACAGTTGTGCTATCCGCTTTCGCGCCCACGTCTTGCCAATGGTAGAAGAGGTCTGTGGACGGGTTCAAGATCGCGAAGAATATGCTTTACTAGGAGGTGAGACGTGGGATTTTCCATCAGGGGCGACCTCTAGAATGGTCCTCAAGAAAAATAAGTGGATTGTCTTGAAAGAATTACTCGATGCCTCCCAGGATTTATCGCAAGAAAATGCACGCCAAATCCGCTCTGACGTCTGCCTTGCACCAAACGAGAATATTATCGTCACCGATGGTACTTCAAGGATGAGACACCATTTATGCGGATCGCTAAACAATGATTCCACGAAGATGGTCTGCTGCTCCCCTCCGGTCATCCACGCAACAACTTCATCATACCTAATCCGTGAGTCAGGCGCTAGATCAATATAAAATCTCGTTCGACTCCTTCAGATTGCTCTCCACATCGTCAAAGAGATGGTCGATAGATGATAAAGCCGATCCTTTGATTGGTTGGTCGACATGGGTGGTGCACAATACGCCGGCCATCGCATCACAGGATGCCTACGGCAAGCTCTTCATATACCTCAGCAGACTCATGCTGGAGTTTCTCAAACGCGTAAACACTGAAAGAGACGATTTCGAAATATATAGACTGGACGTTAAGAAATTGCCAAGGCATCTTGCCACCAATAGGTATAACAGAATTGAGGTAAGTATGACGCATCATCCCCGGACCTGAAATTGACAGGCCTTCATAACAAAGGCTGCAAACACATCTGATGCAGGTTACATGGGCATCCGAGCAACAGTGGTACCTTGGCTCCGTTAGTTCAACTCGGTCAACAGAATCCGCATGGAACGCTTATAACGCTCTTCCTCAATGCGATTATGGAAATCGTCAGGATGAGTGACGAAAGAGATGCGGTGACTGGGATGACAAGTCTTGTCTCCTACATGAATATCCTTGCTTCAATATGCCGCTACCTACTGGTTTTCCCAATAGCAGCCGCATCTCGGAACTAGCATAACACGACCCTCCGCTCACTACCTTTTACTCAAACTGCACAGTCGCATCCAATCCACCTTCCAGCCTTTTCATCACACTAGCGTCCTCCAGCTTCTCAATATAACCCGGTACCAACCTCTTCCCGAAATCCGCCGCAAAATCATCAAACGTCGCCTGCGGTTTGTTTCTGCAAAGCCCACAGATAATCTCCCTCAGCTTCTCCTTGAATCCTAGCCGAGGGTAGGTATGAAGTATCTCTTTAAATTCTGCAGGGGTGATAAGTTGAACCCTTGCATTACCAGCGCCATGGAACTGGACATTCGGGCCGGAAAAGTCAGCGGATATTGCCAGCTCCGTTAGTGCGGTGAGGGCAGGTGCATGTAACGCCAGAGATGGGGTCGTATGTAACGCGATTGCGTACCAGAGTCTGTCTAAGTGCTCTTCATCCCATTTCTCTTTATCAGAATTCTGAGTTTGGGATCGAAAATGCGTCCTCACGAAGTCTCGAGCGACATTCGCACCGTCAACCTCAAACCTCTTTTCTTGAGATACCAACTCTGATGTGAACGACCACCCGAGGTCGTGAAGTAAGGTCGCTACAACAACAGTTTCCGGGTCGACGGCCGAAAATTGGGTGAGCTTCTCCCGTAGAATGAGCGAGAAGAAGGCACTGCGAATAGTGTGATTGGAAATCGCTGGAGAGGTGTGAAGGTGGATGTAGCTATATGCTGCTTTTACTAGAGGTGTTGAGGGGAGAGAGACGCCTCCAAGGCGGGTGGAGGGGAAGGGCGGAAGTGCTTTTGGGGCGGCCATGTTGGGTGTGGGTTAGAGCTACGATTCGAAGGTTTCGACGTGATGTGTGGCGTTATCTGTATGGGGAAGACGAACGCAACCAAGTGATTTTGTAAATACCGGGCAGGCAGAATAACACCGGCCTATATATAATGTCCCTAGCACCTCATCATCCGGAGTCCAGCGGGATGATTTCCAGTACTACTACGTAGTAGCTGCATGTGCATGATTAATCATTCTTGTGCTGGTCGCTGACGGTGGCGGCTAACCGTCAATTCAGCGCTCCCTTTTCCTTGAAGGGACTTCGGGTAGGTGCATTACTGGTATCTTCATATACTTCCGCGATAGGTTTCGTATGTGGGATGCGGAGAGCTCGTGTGTCGGATGTGGGTAATAAGAGCCAGCGTCGAACAGTGGTATGTGGCAAGTCCACAGATGTAACTGCAACTGGCTGACAAACCTTTTCCGTTGCTTGGGAGCGGCTGGGGTTTTACAGATGAGCGGCTCCGATCCTCTGCCAAATTCGATGTAGCTGCAGCTGCCTGGCTTGCCCATCTCTCGGAAGCTCTGTCGACCTTCCTCTCCCCGAAAAAGATGCTTTTCAAGGTCCAGACCACCATCTCGAACTGGGATACGGAAATGATTTTTGGCCAATTGGGCGTTGATAAATTGGCCCATAGGGTGACGAAATTACCGTGTCGGGTGCGTACAATTTGGGTAGCCCTTCGGCCTGGAGACAAATACTAAGTATCCTTAAATAACTATGGGATTTTTAAATTTTGTCGCTTTACAGAGTTTGTTACACATTTCGGGTTGTCACATTAGACAGCAATCTTATAACTTTTGACTGAGACAACTTCCAGAAAGAGCAAGCATACACGAATAATAAAACCCGTGAATTAGAATCCAACAACCTAAAGGACATGAGTCTGGGCTCTCCGAGTTGGGAGCGGCTCAGAATCTGAGTCCTCCGGCCCCTCAGGGTAGAATTCAGTCAATACTCAGGGATGCTCAGGCCCGGAACAGCCTTGCACAGCCACAGCTCCTGCAGGGCCTGCTGATTCATCGCTCAGGTTACAGTCACATGTGCTCAGGTCTCAAAGTGAAAATGGAATTTGGAGAGGTTAAGATTCGGGTGTGGGTGTTGTGGTGTTTGGCCAAGGCGAAGAGCTTGCCGGCCTCCGATTAAGGAATAAGCAACGTTTCATTAGGACCTTCAAGGATTTTCATCTGAGAAACGGAGTCCGCCAAGACCTTTATCTTTCCATCAAAAACTACTTCAAATATTTCCAAGTCTTGCTTTGATCCAACGAAGGCCCGGATTTGGGTTATTTGCCAAGACATTTGATTTGATTTATTTGACCCAATTTGAATCAAATGGACATGCTGACCTTAAGAGATTCACGGCCGTGAAGAGTAGGATGAACACTACGATCAACACACTTGTCGTAAAGTCTGGCCCTCACTTGGAAGCAAAGACCAGCAGCAAGTAAAGTCCATGCCATATGTGGAAAGGACCAGTTCAGCAAGTACCAGCGTCCCTGGTTAGAAGTTCAGCAAACTGCATCTCAATACAGAGGAAGAATGGAAGACCGCCTTACGGTCAACTAGGGACCAAGCTATCCAGGTGAATACAAAACTGGCCAGACCAAAGCCAAGGCTCATCCATAAGGCCTGTTTCGCTCCACCACAAAGGGGTACAGGGTCGCTCGTATGACTTCCGTCACTCTCTTGGCATGTCTCATTTTTGATGCTACCGTCTATGGCGGCGATGAAGATCGTGGACGATAGGAATGCGAGGGAATGAATCTATTTTCCCTTAGCCTCAGAACCCTGACCAAAGTCATATATTCATCCTGAGAAGTGAGCACCAATGGCAACAAATGCGAAAAGCTTCAAGTTTAAGATCCACGTACACCCTCATGCCTGCGGAGCCACCATCACTATCCACCTTTCTGTCATAAAATTTGACATTTTTCTAATTAGTCATTGAGATTCAGTAACGCAAGTACCTTAAATTGGTCTGAACAAATAACAGAAACCTGTTGCAATCTTAAGCTTCTTAAGTTATCGACTAGATAACCTTTGGCTTAGAGGTTAGGACTCACCCCTTCGATAAGCACTGTGATTAGCATAATGTCAACCTGCTGTGCAGAGTGCGTAGAGAAGCAAGTTGATTGATAGCTACGGGGGTAGAGAGCGTCGATCTATGTACAATTGGCTGTACCGTACAGCGAAATTAGAAGCGAAATTGCGTAAAACAAATAGCCACTGTGATTTTACATCATTTTGAATAATGTAATAAGCCCTGCGTTTACCCACTAACCATAAGCTCTCAAATCTTCACGTTTACAGCAATCAATTAGAAAAATGTCAACTTTTACGATAGAAAAGGTGCATAAAAGCCTAGATGCTGGCCTTGCCAATCTAGGGAACTTTTAAAAATTTGCGGAAATCGTGACCGATAGCTTGTTAACAAAACGTTTTGTTGGTATGTATCATCGATACAGTATCGTAGTCCTCCTGTAATGGACACTCGTCGTCGCGCTGTCTGCTCATGATGTATCCCGTCTTATTTTAGTTTTGGACATGCGTGTAAAGTCAGGTTACGACAGGCTAGAAATTGGCGTCATAGCCCCACGCGGGCGTATCTAAGACCGCAACGCGGCTTTATATTGACCGTTCTTCAGCCACCAACGAGGGGATTCAGTGCAGAAAAGGACGAGTAACAATAGAGCAGGGTGGGAATGCAAGGGCCCGCAGCCATCCACCTCAATCTACTCAAGCTCACCGCTGTGGAAAGCCACCAGGTTGGCTAGTACGAAGCCCAGTAATATTCCCAATGAATTAAAGAGCTGCCAACAGACTATCAGACTGCCACGGACAGAGTATTCATCAAATCAAGTCAAATCTCAGTAAAGCAAGATATTTCTAGGGATCTACTTGTGTTACTGTGCGTTGCATAAGAGTTGCGAATTC